CTTTGTGTTAAGTTATTACTTTTTCTTCTTTTTATGTCAAGGGCTTGGCTCTATATTTGAGATTGTTGATTTAACCTTAGTAGTTTTTAGAAACAATTTGCAAGACTAGAGGTTGCTAACTTGAGTTTTGCTTCATACTGTACTTTAAGTTTGTCTAGTCTGTCAATAATTTCTAACAGTAAGTCTTCAGTTAATAGTTTTTTTCTTTTCTTGGTGATACTTGTTTTCTTTTTTTTGATTGGTTCTTGAATTTTTGTTTAACTTCTTTGTGCTATATTCATATTCTATTTCTTGGTTATTCTCTTTTTTGTTGGTCCAATTTTTCTTTCTTAATAGTTTAGTTTTTTTCTTTAATGCTTTTTTTGTTTTTAGTTTTTTTCTTTAATGCTTTTTTTGTTTTATAATCATTTCAAAAGATTGAGTGATTGTAGTATTAGAATGGTTTTGATTGTACTAATTCTAAATTTTCTTGGTTTGCAAAAGTAATAATTGCAAATTCTTTAGGTTTACTGTTGCTATTAATTGGTATAAACACTAATTTTGCTCTTTTACTTTTAAGGCTTTTTAGCAAAAGAATTTTAGAAGCTTCTTTGAGTACTTCTAATAGTTTTGCTGTAAAAAAACTATATTTATTTCTTTGCTCATAATCTTCTTTATCTTATGTCACTTGTACCAATTTGTTGTTGTTCAATTGGTGTGACCAAGGCATTTCTGTATAGTTTCTGATCATTGTTTTAATTATTGCTAATGCTTTAAACTGAGATTTTTTAATTCTTACAACTTTTGCATTTCTAATACTTTTACACATAAATTTGATTTTTTTTATAACTGATATTTGCTGATAAATTCCATATAGTTAAATAGTTTGGATTTTTCATCTTTCCTTTTTTCTTTCGATACAAATTAGTTTGGTTTGTTTGTTTTGTAAACTGCAGTCTGTATTCAGTCTTTTGTGAATTTAGTACTGTTTGTTTAACTGGGTTGTTTTTTAAATTTTAGATTTGCCTTTCTTTATTTGTTTTATAGCTAAAACTACTTCTTTGTTTTTCAGTCTTTATGAAAATGAGTTTACACCAATCATCATCTTTTCTTACTATTTTTTTACTTGTTTTTTTGCTATATTTGCAATTAAAGTCTACTATAATCTAATTATTACCATTCAAAAAACTTTCTTCTATTCCTTTAATGTGTTTTTCATTTCTAAGTATCTATTTTATAAAGTTAATTCTGTACTTTTTTGTTTTATCTAAAATCTTGTATATTAGGAGTTTTGCTTTAAATAAGTTTTTTTTGTCATATAATCTATTTTGTGATAACCAAAGACTATTTTTTAGCAGTGCTAAGCTGATTGGTTCTTTTGAATTTGTTTCTTGGTCTTTAGCATTTTTCTTTCTTTTAATAGGATCAGAATTATCTTAACTTGGCTCTATGCATTCTACTTTTGACAATACTTAACTTTTTTCACTTTTGTTTTTGTCTTTATTAATCTTGATTGCTAACTTTTTTAGATTTGTTAATTGGTGGTTTTGGTTTGATGTACTAGTTTCTATAATAATAATAAGATTTTCTGTGTTGTCAATAATATTTTGACTGTTTTCTTTTGTTATTTCAACTGTTGGTTCTTCTTGTTTTCTTTTTTTGAACCAGTTTGTTAAAAGCCAATGTTTACATCTTTTTTTTCTACTTTTATTTTATTTTTTTTCTTTAATATTGTTAAACTACTCATATTGGCTATGTAGTTAATTGCTCTTAGATTGTGTTGTGTTATTCTGCTTTTATTGCTTATTTTTTAATTAATGTTTTTTTAAGACTTCTAGTTTTGATTTGTCTTAACACTTCAAGAACTTGACTGTAAATTAACAAATTCTGTTTTGTAATTTCATTTGGATTACCAATTGCTATACTGTATGCTATTTGTTCTATATTGTTTGAACTATGTAGTGTTGTATCTTTTAGTGCTTTAGTTAATATATTGCTATCTAAGTAACTAAGATTTTTTTTATCTGCTTTTCAAATAAACTTAAGTAGCCCCTGCTTGTATATCTTACTCATCTTATAATCTGTACTAGAGTTAATACTTCAATCCGGATATAAATATATCTGGATTAATATTTTGCTAAAAATTTATATTAAAACATAGTAATATTATCCGGATATAATCCAGATATAAAATATATCTGGATATAAAAACATAGTAAAGTATTAACTCTAATCTGTGCTTAAATAATAATTACTAATATCTACTAGTAGTATTATTCTAGATTTTTCTAAAAGGGGCTATATGCTTTTCTGTTGCTGTTTAATTGCATGATTGTTGTTTTTTTGCAATTTATTTGTCTAACCAAAAAGAAAACATAACCTATTGTTTGTTTACTTTGTTGTTTATATGTTTTTGTGCAACCTAATTTGATCTGCCATACTGGGACTCTACCAATTTTCTGAATTTTTAGAAAAAATTTTGAGAAAAAACTAAATTGTTCTTTTGTGCTTTGTACTTGATCAAAAAAGAAAAGAGCTTTTATTAAACTTTATGTTGTTTTTGGTTTACTTTCTTTTTCTTTAAGTTGTTAGGACATTTTTTTTAAGCTAGTTCTTGCTCACTGCTACTATTTTTGTCTTGTCTGTTTTTGAAACAGAGAATTAGCAGGAAGAGTTTTTTTGATTTTTCAATTATTGTCCATATTAATTTTATTTTAAAAACTTTAATTTCTATATAAATACATAGTAATGCATAAACTATAATGTATTAAAATAATTTTTTTTTACAATACCAAATTATAACTTATAATTTAATTTTTTTTTTTTAACATTAAAGTTTCTGCCTTTGGTGATCAATTTTTTATTCAAGTATTTAGACATGAATGCCTTTAGGGGTTTCTATATATAGGAGGTTACAACTAGCCACACATGTACTTTTGGTGTCTAATTTAAGTAGTCTACCTATACATTACTATACAGGTTCTATACTAGGTGCCATACCTGCAAGCCAACTATGAGTCTTGTCTATTTAAACCCTCTGCATATGTAATCTGACTTGTGATCATAGGAACATCTTCTAGGCTACACCTATTCAAAGTACCTAATGATTATGAGACCTTTAGAACTAGTTTATCCTTAACATAAAACTTACTAGAACCTTCTGCGTTTTACATACAGCTGATCTAGTTTTATGCAACATTCTATAGTTATCTAACATTTGTAGTCACAGGAGTTACCTGTTTAACTACTACATTATACTATTTCTACTCTTGTAAAATTTACTAGAACCCCAGTACCTATCATTGTAACATCTTCTTCATCATCCTTTACTAATCACTACTTAGAACTGACAGGACTCTCTCAACTTCCAATCCAGATAGTCTGGTATAGTATACTTATGTATTCTTTTCCTCCAATAATTTTTGTAGTTTGGTTGGTCATATACTCCTCTATATATCTTGATATCTGGTTTATTCACTTATTCCTTTGAGGGTGTTTTATGGGCTTCCATTGGTCTGACCATATTATTGAAAGTTCATGCTACCTCTTTACTCAGGAATTTTCAAGTGGGCTTTCAACTTTTCAGTTCCTTAGTTTATTGCACCTGGTGGTCTTATTATGGGTTTGCACCAAAGTCTTATGTGATACTGGTTATTAACATTTCTCTATATATGTATAATGGGTTTAAATGCACTTTAGCGGGTACTAATACATCAAATTATCACATTCTGCAGATTTTTCAATAACATCACGTTGTACTAATCATTTGCTTTATTCTAATTATTTATATAGATGATAATCGGTATTACAACACAAATATTTATATACATTATTTCTATAAATGATAGGTACTGTAAAAAAATTTATTTATGTTATGCAATATAATAAGCATTTTAAAATAATAATATAAATAAAAAAAATTTAATTTAATAGCAATCGAAAAAAAAAACTTTTAAAATACAATAAGAAATAATATAGATAATATATAAATTTACCTTAAAGGTTCAAGAGAACGAATATTTCTCTTTATGATATTGTTCATTTTTTTTTATATAAATAATTTATATATTTTTTGAATTGATAATATTTATATATTTTATTTGTTATTTAATATTATAATTTAAATAAATAAAAATGAATCACTAGGTAAAAAAATTTTTCCTTTAACGATTTTGATTTTTTTCTTGTTGTTGTTTTTGGTTATATAGAGAAAAAAATTTTTCTTCATTTACAAAAAAATTATAACTATCACTCCACGTTACTAAAAAACATTCTAAATTATTAATATTTAAAGAATTTTCATATTGACCACTTGTAATATTGTAACAATTTACATTTTCAGGAATAGATATTTTTTGATTAGTAAATTTGTCGAGAAAATATACTCTAGCATTATTTGTATTTAAACCTTAGAAATGTTAAGTTAGTTTTATTATCAATATTGTAATTTATGTAATTTAAATTATACTTACTGTTTCATTAAAAATTAATTTAGTGACTATTATAAATTTATAAAAATTAAAATTAACATACCGTTCAACTTGGATTTTAAAATTATAGTCTTTAAATTCATGGAGATGTTTTTCCAATGGAGTTTCTTTTTTATAACTAATTGTCATGTTTCTAAATGATAATTTAATATTAATAATAATTTTAACAATTATACATTATTACTCATTACCTTTTTTCTTTATGTGTTCGAGAAGGAAATTTTCTTTTTTTTTTAATTTTTGTCATTTTATAAAATTTATTTATTGTAACAATATATTTTTTTTTATTTAAATTTATTTATAAAATTTGAACAAATATTGGGGGTGTTTTTATAGTTTTAGTCAAATTCGGAATTCGATATCCGATTAATAATTATTTGTAATACAAACCTAAATAATATTTATAATTATTAATCGGATATCAATTCCGAATTTTTAAAAATTAATTTATTTTGAAATATTTAATATAGTTTATTTAAAAAAAAAAAACTATTTAAATATTAGTAATAACTTGAAATAAAAATTAAAAACATGATTTATTCCAATTTTGATATATTAGATAAACCATGGTGGAAATTACCATTCGATGAACGTAATAATGAATTTTTAATTAAACAATCATTATATTTTAAACAACTTATAAAAGATTCTATTAATCAAAATGATAAAATTTTATGGGACGGATATGTGATTTTACATAGGGAAAAATATTTGCTTGAATGTGTTTCGACTGAAAATAATATAGATTATAAAAAGCTTGAAATTATTTTAGTTAAATCTTGGTTTTTTGATATTTTTATACAAGAAAAGGATAGACGTGTGGCTAGAAAAATTAGAAATCTGCATAGTGTAATTAAAAAAATATTTCCATCAATATTTTTTCCTGAATTATCTATAAATGAATTTACACCAAAATTAGCAATAAATATTCATAAAGAAATTGGTAAAGGGATTATTGAGAATGTAGGAGAATATAGAAAAAAACTCACCATGGCCGCTGAAGATAATTTTATTTATATGTCACCTGGTTTAATTGAAGAAAGTATGAATAAATTATTTAAATCAACAAGAGAGAAATTTGAAAAAGAAGAATTGGAATTGGAAGAAGTAGTAAAATATGGAGCATGTTTTTTTTCTAAATTTTTGTTAATACATCCTTTTATGAATGGAAATGGACGGGTAGCTAGAATACTTTTAAGTTACATTCTTTCTAAGTATACTATAGTTCCACTTTCTCTATATTCTGGTATGAAAACACGAGATATATATCTTCAATGTTTAAGGGAAGCACAATGGTATAAAAAATCAAATGAGCCCAGTGCATTAGCTAGATATATTCTTGAATGTATTTATAAAACTTTATATAATATCTGTGTAGTTATGGATATTGATATCAAATATTAATTTTTTTAATATGTATAATTTTTATTTTAAATAATAATATAGCATTCGAATATTGTTAAAAATCTGTGAATTTGGTTGTTTAATACAAATAAATATATTATACTTTATATACGTAATATTAATTATTGTATTGGTAATTTGATGCTATGCACAGTAAAATTTGTGACGTTTCAAAAAAATTTTCAAGAAAAAAGCTGGTATATATTTTAGAAAAAAAAATCAAAACGTCACAAATTTTGCTGCAGAATTTAAAACACATGATTAAAATTCGATAAATTAGAGTTGATATATTTTATAAATATTTTATTAATTCAGATTATTAAAACTATTAATTTATTGAATTTTTATTTTTTTTCAATGACATTTTTATTACGTGTTTTAATTTTTGTTAAAATAAATATTGCTAGTAAAATTACAAGCCAACCAAAGAAAATATAATACCAAATTTTTTCAGCTTTAAATTCTATAATACCAAGCAAAATTTCTATCGGAAGACAAATAGTTATAAAATATGCTAAATAATCATGGATTAATCGTATTTTATTTACATGGTATATACGATTATAAACGATACCAATAATAACTTCTAAAATAATAATTGGAACTAATATATGTCCCATAGTCTAGAAATTGATGTGTTTAAATAAATAATTTTTTTTTCAAAATTAATATTAAATAAAAACATACTGTATGTGGAGTATTGATCCATATAAAACATGATTCTTTTACTGAATAATGATTGATAGAGAATCCAATAATGACAGGTAATGCAAATAAAAATATCTTCTATAGAAAAAAATATATTTTATCATATTCATGAAATGAAAAAGTTAGTAAACTATTTTAAGTAAATCAGTCTTTCTTATATGAAATATAACTTACTAAATTTAAATGTGATTATTGATGTTAATAATTAAAGAAATTAGTAATTTGTATTTAATGATAATTTTAAATATTAACAATATTTTTTATATATACTTGATTAACCCAATGTATATTAAACCAAATATTAGGTAAGATTTTACGACCAAAATGTCCAATAAAAATACCAAAAGGAAAAAATAAAAGACATGCGACTGCATATATTGTCACTATATTATAAAATCTGATTAATAAATATTCGATTATTGAATATGTATACAAATTCATACCATGTAATATCAACATGAAATTTGTAAATTCTTCCATAGTTAAATTTAAATTTAATTATTTATTATATGGTAAAATATCATATATTTATAATATTTGTAAATATATTATTGAATGTATTTATAAAATTTTATATAATATTTGTATAGTTATGAATATTGATATCAAACGTTAATTTTTTTTAATATATTTTTTTATATTTATTAAATAAAATATATTTTATTATTTTTAATTTAATATCTTATAAAAATATTTTACTGTTAAAATAATTATTAAAAGTAACATTAATAACAAGTTTTGTAAATGCCATAACATCATTATCCAATGATAAAGCAATATATTTAATATTATTTGTAATTTTCGTTGTATTATTCTTATTTTTCTTATTGAAATCATTTAAAATTTATAAATATTGATAAATAATTTTTAGGATGTTTTATATTTTTAAATATATTAAGAATTTAATATTTAATTAATAATTACAATTATTATTTATATTTTTAAAATTTTGTTTTATATTGGTATAAATAATCATAATGAGGTTTTTCAAATAAAATTGTGTTATAAACACTTTGTGGATATTCTATAATTTCATTATTATCAAATTTCAATTCAAATTTTGTACTTTCCATCGCATTTCTATATATAGTATTTTATAATTAATAAAATAATATAAACAATAAATAATTAATAATAAAACATACTTATGCCATAAATAGTTATTTTTCCATATATCCATTTTTTGTGGTTTCCAAATAAGCATTTCTTTTCTAAATTTTATATTCACATTTTCACAATATTTTCTTAATATTTTTTCAGGATTTTCAACTAGATCATCTGCATCTATTAATAAAATTTCTTCATTAATTGTATTTTTAATTATATCATAAAGTTTTCTTAATTCTTCAATACCGATTCTATCAAAATTTAATTTTTTATTATTAGATTTATTTATAGATCTATAGAATGATTTAACAGATTTTTCAGGATCACGAATAAGAAAAGTATGTTTAAATTTTGATAAAATATTTTCAGAAAGTAATGGTTTAATATCAGGTAATTGTAAAAACATTTTAGCTAAATCTTTAACAAATACTCTTAATTTATGAGTTTTAATATTATCATAATAATGATGTTCAAGAATACTATTAAGTGTTGAAGAAAAATAATGATTATAAGTAATTTGATCATATGCCTTTGGTATAGAAATATTATTCAAGTAATTAAAATCATTTGTCATATATGCATTGTTAATTGGTACAAATGGTTCGTGTATAACATGAAATTCTTTTGGAAAATTAAGAAAAGGTCTTTCGAAAACCGTTGAAAGTGATCTTGCATGTGCCCAAAGAATAATAGGTCTTTCATCCATCAGAAATTAAAAATATTAATAAAATATTAAGTGTTTAAATATAAAATTCGTTTTGATAATATAATATTTTTATTTAATAATATATAATTTAATAAATTCGAAATTTGGTATCAAATTGATAATCATAAATATTATTTACATAATAATATTTATGATTATCAATTTGATACCAAATTTCGAAGATTCTAAAATAAATAAATAATATATTGTTAAACAAATAAAATTTTTGTATTACAAATAAATTTTTATAATATAAAATTAAAAATTACGTATACAATTATTTTTTTTATTAATTAAAATTTAAAATGTCCGAAGATAATGTTCACGGCGTTTGGAATTTTTTTTTAAATGATAAAGAAAATAATAAAACAAAATGTCAACTTTGTCCAAAAGAATATAACAATTCTTTAAATGAATCCACTGCCAAGAATCATATCTCTCAGAAACATCCTCAAGCATGGAATACTGTACGGCTTATGAGAAGAAAAAGAAAAGGAAAAGAAAAAAATAATCAAAATAATACAAATTCAAATGGAGAAACTAATAATAATAATAATTTAGAAACACAAAGTAATGCAGATTCAAATTCTTCTAATAATGTAAAATGTAAATGTAAAAATGTTGAAATGGTTCTACCTGGTGGGGTTGTAGTTAAATCTAAACAGATGGATATTGAATATAATATCGATTAATTTTTTTTTGTTGTAAGTTATTTTATATTTATTATTAATTATTTTTGTTTAATAAAAAAAAAATTTAAATATTAAGATAAAAAAAAAATAATTTTGAGAAAAGTAAAATGTTCAAAAATATTTTATAATATTAAATTATGTTTTTGTAATATTTTTAACTTGAAAAACCTCGTAACTTTTTAAACTAATGCGGTGATTATTATTCATTATCCCATTATAAGATTTTGATTTATATTTTAAACAATTAATATTTTCCATAATACGAAAATCAAATTCACCAAAGATTGGATTACAGTTACTATCACAATAAATTGCATGATTAATATGATCATAATTAATATATGATACTTCATATTTTTTTATATTTTTATAATCAATTACAAACAGAAAACTATCTGTTGTTTCTTTGTATTTTAAATTTCCATTCCAATCAAGTGGATTATATCCACCTATGAGAAGAGTTGTGTTATTA